GGCTGCGGTGCCGGTGGGTGCCCGGCTGGCGGGATGGGCGCTTTGCGGCCCTGAGGTGCGTGGTGAAAGGCAGACCCTCAGGAGCGACGGGGAGGAGAAGGTAACAGCGGATAACGTCTCTAAAATACATATTTATCAGCAACGAGAGGTGATACAATACTGCTTTATCTTTAAAATATCCTGAGCAGGGAGGGGGGGAGGCTGGAGACCGGGGCCTTCCCGGCTGTTTTCCAGCTGGTGTGTAACCTTTGTCAGTTCCTGTCACCCTGGGCGGCTGTTTTCTGCTCAGGGAGTTGCAGCACTTAAAAAACAAAAACTGTATGGCAGTAAACCAAACTGCTGGGAAACGCAGGGTTTCGTTTTTGTTGTTGCTGCTGCTCTTTGAAGGGGAGAGACCTGCTGCTGCCGGAGTGCACGGCTTCGCTCGGCCCTCGCTGCACAACACTCACCTGCAGGTTTGCTCTTTCGCCATACGGGTGGAAGAACGGACGTGCTGGCCGTGTGTACATCCACGCTGCCCTGTAGCAGTAGGCAGTGAGCCCGTTTCATGAAGCTGAACAGTTCAGGCATTGTAATTTACTTCATAAAAAGTATAAACACTCCAGTTTCTCCAGTTTATGCCGTACAGAATACGTGTGGTCTTTTTGCCATATGTTCTGAGACGATGGGTTGTTTTTTCCCCGGTGTTTTCTCAGCGGTTGCCAGCAGCAAGGCAGCGTCATCTGATGCGCACGGTAACCGTGCTGTGGGATCACAGGGCAATATCGCTAACACTGGCGCAAGCGTTTCCACCTTTTTGCCTCCCAAGGTTCTGTCTACACACTGTCCTTTCCTTCTTATGGCACAAGCAGTGGTGTGTTTGTGCAGTGCATCAGGTTGATCTGACCTAAATTAAGACTAACCTGACCAAAAAAAAAAAAAAGGGGTGGGTGGGTGATTGTGGCCTCAGAAGTTTAATTCATGTTCCTGTGCACTTTCTTTGTGGCAAACCTGCTTTGTTCCTCATGGCTCACTCCTGACCCAGTGCTGCACTCTCAGTTGTGCTAATAACGGTTTGTGGGGCTTCATAGTAGCCTGGATTAGCTCCGGGTTCAAATAAATGTCCTCTTTAAGTGGCTTTTTTTCCCTCCCTCTCCCTCCCAAGGTAAAAACATCAGTGGAACTATATAGTCTTGACTGTTTGTTTTATCAGGACAATTTGTAGTAAAACATCAGTGGAACTATATAGTCTTGACTGTTTTATCAGGACAATTTGTAGTGTAAGTCAGAAGAGAGGCAAATAAACCAATCTTTAAATGAAGCTTCCTTTGCTATTTTGACAAAACTCTGCTGCCTTCTAGGGAGATCTGATACGTTTTCAGGTAACAAATTGAGAAGACTTACTGGCTTTAGGTTTTAATAGTGGTAGTTCTTGCTACACTTAGGTGTAGCAAAGCAGTGCATGTAGTATTCGTTAGCATGCTAGTTGTCGTTGTCATGTAGTAGTCATGTTAGTTGACTTGTATGTGTTTCAGATGGTTTTTCCTACTTATATTTTCACATGATCTGATGCAGCTGCAGATCAAAATGGGAAGGTCCCAGCATCACATTTCAGGGTCTTGCATCACGCTGGCTGGTTGTGGTGCTAGGGAAGGGCACTCATGTCCACCTAGCCCTCCCCAGTAAGCCCATGCGTTTTCTCTGTTCCTAGTTTGGCCTGAGGAAGTAGTTTTTTTTCTGAGGCAGTTCTCAATGGCTAACATTGAGAAATGTCCTGAACTGGAAATTTCAGGTATGCTTCTTGTGCTTGAAGTCCTGCAGTACTTAGTGAGCTCTTGTGTCTGCTTAGCTTACTGCAGCGCGGTAGTATTTGATCTTTGACGTAAGCAAACAGACTTACGGTTGGAAGTATTAGCTAATTAAAACATGGGAACTGGGAGGGCGCTTGTGCTAGTCCCTGTTAGCAGGTGGCTTACTTCACAGCATGAAGAACATCATAGCACAGAGAAATGAAATAACTTGTTCATCACAGATTTTCTGCTTGGAAGAGGACAAAAGGCAGCAATTTAATCTTCCCCTGCACTGCAGAGGCATCCTGAGCTGGCCCTGTCTCCGTGTGTTTCTGGTTTACAGGTGGTCCCTACAAGACAATACCAGTTCCCAGTCACCTGATTTGGTCAGGACAGCAGCTCGCTTTTTTACCTTTGCATGAAAGGTTTTAGACCTGGTCATGCAGAAAAATCTGTAAGTCTGTCTCTTGCGCAGTGGTGGAGGGGTGTCTACCCGAATCTGAGTGTGGCCTGACTCCAGCTCCAAATAATATGAGTTCCATCATGTACCTGTATTTGCCTCATCCTCCACCACCATGAGAGTGGATGGTCACAGCTTTCTCCATGGAAGGCTGTATCCCAATGCAGAAAGTAGCTGTGCCCTGCCTTCCAGGAGAAGGATCAGAAGGTGTTACACGTGTCTTGTAGCAGAGTTGGTAGAGGTTCCTCTTGTGTGTTGCTCTGAGTGCTTTTATGTCACTGCTACTTCAGTTTAGTCAGCAGTGAGATACTTGGAAGTATTGCACTATTGCCGGTTCGTTCTTGGCAAAACTGAGGCAGAACTGCAAGGCTGGAGAGATGATGAGAAGGGGACTGAAATCCGTTATCTCAGCCATCTCTGCAATGTTCATAACAGGAAGCAAGGGTGTTAATGATGGTGAGTTTTGTACTAGCAATCAACCTCTTCAGCTCGCACTGGTCTCTGGAGGCAGGGCTGGATTCAGGGTCAGCCTCAGCTGGCAGCTCTGTAGGTTCAGAAACTGGCTGTCTCCTGGGGTTCCCAAAATCAATGGAATATTCAGGGAATTGTGGAAATCTTCTCTGCATCCGCTCTTTAGGGCGTAAGGAGGTTGTAAATATCTTGTTCCATGCATCCTTTGAGAGAGCTGAGCTGGGCTCAGTTAGTGGCTCCCCGTTAGAAGGGGAGATCTTTGTACTGTTAAATATTTTTCTCTGTGTCTTCTGGAGTAGCGTGTTTGCCAGCAGGCATGGAATTCTGTGATGATAAAAGAGCCGCAATGAAGACACTCACAGAAGAGAGTAAAAAATTTGTGGACTTTTATTTCTTTACGTTTTTTGCTATTGTAAAATTAGGGTGACTAATTCCTCCTTCCTGAGAGTTTTGTCGTGGCTCTAAAATGCACTTTAAGGATGTTGAACATTACGCAGGAAATGGGAGAGGCATGGCTCCAGACACAGAGAGGCATCTGGCTTGAGGAAATCTTTCTAATAAGAGTCCCAGCCTGCTGCCTAACAAAATGTAGTTGTAAAGTTAGAATTGATGGGAAAAGGGTGATATCCACAGATCCTTGACTTTTGTTCCACACCCAGCAAATTCTTAGAAGAGTTTTTAGAGCCTGTGTTCCCAAATCTGAATGGGTAATAATAATAATAATAATAAATAACCACCTACATTGTTTAGAGGTTTTTATCCTTCAGTTTTCATGCATATGTTGAACTAATTTGTAGCATGTGAATTCCAGACCAAATCCAGTACAAGCAGCTTCTTGCAAAGACTTCTGGACTCATTAATAAATCAATTTTAGGTTTTGCTATCAAGATGAGGGGCTCACATTTTTAAAGTAATAAACATAGACTTAATTTCCTTTCTGTTTGCACTGTTGAGTTATTTCTGTTCTAGATCTATCAATTAGGTTATTTGGATGAAACCTCAAAACCAAATTCTGGGTAGTACTGAAGCGCGAGCTGGAGGCTGTCACAGGGAGCAACAGTTGCAGAGGCCAGGAGTGTGAGAACAGGAGGAAATATAACTGATACTGAAAAATGTGCAATATCTGGGGCAAGAGCAAGGTGCTGTCTTGTTACCAAGTGAGGTGATTGTCAGTTGTGTGGATTGTGAGGAAAGATTTGTCCTTGTCTGATCCAAATTCTGACCTGGAATAGGTGGCTGCAGCTTGTTACTTACATAAGGTCTGAGTTTGTCCACATGTTTCAGCAGTCTCCACAAGGCAAGATAATGTAAATCAAGATGACAAATGGTGGTTTACCCTTGTTTGCTGGAGAGGAAATGCACCAGAGACAAAGTTGGCCTTTAGATTATATTAGCCATGAAAAAGAGGACTAAATTCTGTTACGTTTTTCTGCTCTAAATCTGGAATAACTATTACTTTAAGGCAGTTATTTTCTTATAGATGTGCTGTAAGGGGGGGTTGCAGACATTTCCATGTGCTATTGCAGTTTGCCTTTGCAGCACAGTAGACTTTGACCCAGGCTTTGTGTGAAACACCAATGTATACAGATGTGTTTCAGCTGCTCCTTGGTTCCGTTTACTTTGCTGCCTTTCTGTAGGAAAGGTGTAATGATTCCTGCCTGAGGTTTTGCATCCACTTGTAGGATTTGTCCGGAACTTTTATTTTAGATTAATCTAGATAGTGTCCCTTTAATAAATTTTAAACTGTTGGCTCCAAATATTTGCTGTTATCTTAATATCTGTCACTAACTCAAGTGCTGTTTCTGTTCTCTGTACACTACAGGGCTTTCCCCTTTACCTTCAGTGAGGGAAGCTCAGACCTTTACACAGCAGCGTGTTCACAGTCTAACCTGCCTACCCATTAGTCTCTTACATAATATTCTCATTATCCATCTTTACCGTAAACATTGTAATCCTTTTGCTTCTACATCGCAGGTTCAACAGTGTGACCACTCTCTTGATTCATATACTCACAGCAAAGCCTCCATCTGTCTCATGGATTATAGATCTAAATTGGTAACTATCACTTGCTTGCAATATTTATTAACAGTTATGTTAATTGCTCATACTATGTTTTCTGCTTCTGATAAATCTCTCTTGTAGTACTAGCATTTGTATAAGACTCCTTAAGGTCATGGCCTTATTTCCTTTATGAGCTTTATTCTTAGGACAGCATACATTGGCTATAAAAAAAAAATCCATTACTTGATAAGAAATCTGATTCAGGATTTAATTTAATTCCTGAAAAAGAAAAACAAAAATATTTTTTTTCAGATGACAGAGCACATAAAGGACTGAATTTTTATAATAGAGAATAGACATAGATGTGCAATTTGTGAACTAGAGTATTTTTAATGTAGATGCACTTTTTAAGACTTTTGGTGGGAAAAAAACCCATAAAGTACTAACTCTTGAAAAGAAGTTACGCTCACTGCATGTCAGTCATGTCTCTCATGGATTACTGCTAAGCTGTAAATATAAGAGATGAAGAAATCTTTTGGTTTAGTTACTTTTTTGTTTCTTCCCTCCCACACAATTTACAGAATACCTTCCAGTCTTTCAGCATCTTCAGAGCTGTCTACCATGCTCCTGTCCTGTGTTCCTACAAAAACCTTGGCAGACATGTGATCTATTTGACTTTAGCACAATGTATTGACTTTAGCACTATGTGTATGTGGTTTTTTTAACTTCTACCTTTATTTAGCCTCATTATTTCTGCTCTTACTAGATGAGTGTATCTAGTAATCTCTTTTCTTCCTTCCACACTCCTCAGTGCCTATGGATAGCCAGGAGTCTAACAGGTACAGCTGTGTTTGTGACTGTGCCCCTTCTCTTGTTGCCTGCTGTTACCACTTATTCCTTCTAGACTGGTAGTCATTAACTTCTTTCCCAGTTTTTTCTCTGTTGGCTGATCTTGAGCACTGGAACTCAGGAACAATAAAATGGAAGTAAGAAAAAGGAAGTTTGGACTCTGAAATAAATGAATGTTTTAACACTGGTAGCTCTGTAAGGCGGTAAAATAGTATGTCAGGAGAAACAGCAGAGGCTCAGTTGCTGAATGCACACAAAGCGAGGCTGGACCCAGCCTGGAGTAGCATGCTGTCATAAGATCTTTGACTCTTAGAAATACAGAGGGGCAGTTCCATCCCCATCTTCTCATCTGCCCAATAAAAGAAACGTCTGTGTGTGTGCTAGGGGATGATGATGATAAAACAGTTAAACAGTCACATTTAAATTGCCACTGGTCCTATATAACACAAAGTGTATGTAGTAAATTTCAGTTTTGGCTTTAAAAATAAAGCATGACAAATATTAAAAGATGTTTTTACTGTTAGAAATGCACAGAAATTGTAATACACAAATTACACAGGTTCATAACAAGTTGGAATCGTAGACGTGTCTTCGTGTGTTGTTTGAAGTGTAAGTTCTATCAGTGTGACGATGTTTCATGGTTAACTGAGGTGGCTGCCAGCAGATAAGTAGACCCTTTTTCAAAGGCGATCCAGACTTCTTCCTGACAGTGTTGTGAGAGGGAGTGGAATGTGGTAATGGCCATGTCTGTGAGCAGACCAATGCGGTTGCTAATAGAGATGCGTAAACTTCCAAGATAATGATCAGATTTCTTGTTTCTTGTCTGTGAGTGGATAGAGAAGAACAGCCCTCTTAATTTGTAGCCAAAATGACACAGGCTGGAAACACTTGAATTCAACATTGGGTTTTTTTCTGGAAATAAATGGATGGGAAGATACACCAGTTGATTTCTAGCCAGCACCATCGGCTTTAGACAGTTCATGTACTGCTTTTCACTGAAGTTGGCTGTAGGCAATAAATGATGCAGAACTGGGGCATCAGTGACCACTTTTAGTGATTTGTAAGAGCAGTAACCCTTTGACGGTTTGTGTTGCACTACAGAACAGTTTGATTCTTCACCATGATGCTGGTCACAAATTAAAGAGCACAGCTGTCTGGAGCCATCTATATGACACATTTCAGTGAGTACTGAAAGCAGGGAAGTCTGGTTTCCCATGGAGCTGTCTTATGGTGATAGGCTGCTTCTTTTTAAACTTCATTAGTCTAAAATAGAAAATAAAGGCAGGAGAGACACCTTGACTGAGGAATGTATTCTTTGGTGGCTAATAAGCTCTGATTAAGATTTTATTGCTTTAGAGCATTTGTAGCATCCTTCTCCTATGTGGTTTCTCTGTCTAATAAAAGACAAGCTCACCCTGCAGGCTTTTTCCTCAACAGGAAAATAATAAGGTGTCTCATAGCTACATAACTGCCTATTCTTGCAAAACTAGCTGGAAGCGGATGTGTTTGAGACCTTGTTCCCACTTGCTATAGCATGTGGGGAAAACAGGTTGTCAATATTAGTATGCTCTTAGCTGCAAGGAAGTGGGATACCCAGGTGAAGAACTAAAAGATGCAAGGTCTTATACTGAAGTGTTCTCAAGGACAATCTGATTGGCAGCTTTTTCTTCTGCTGTGTAATGGGTTTTCTGTAATGTAGCTAAATTTTTCCTGTATAGGTATTTTCTTGAGGATTATTCCAAGGCAGTCAAAATGGAAATAGTCGCAAGCCTCTCTTTTGCACTCTGCTTGCCAGTTGTATTTGAGTTGGTCTGCTGTAACAAAACCCTGGTTAGTCTGCATGTGCTTGTAAAACAGGAGAGATGCTGCTGTATTCGGAATCATCCTAAGCAAAGAGCAAGTGTGGTTGTGTACCCAGAGAGCAGGGGGTTACACTGCCAACTGAATGTCCTTTCACCAAGGAGGGAATAAAATTCTCTGGGAGTGATGGCTGCGCGAGCTGTTCTGTTGAGTTGGATGGGAGCTGCCCAACATGGGTGCATCATCGCCTTTTCCATCTGCTGCTGATGCTGCATCTCGGCCAGGTGCAGAGGGCCTGCAGGAGATGCGATTTTGTGGACCTTTCTCTCAGTAGCATAGCAACTGTCATCGCTTCCCACTGCTCGGTCCCCTCCTCTTGGCTCCCTCAGCTGTGCTGGATCAGGAGCTGAACCAACTTTAAAAACAGCCCTGCAAAACAGGAGAAGTTGTAGGAGGATTTATTTTTAACTGGGATCTCTCTGTTCTCTGAACCATCTCTCTGTGTGGTCCTCAGGACTGGCATAACTAGGGAGTGCTTGGATCAGGGGTGGGACAACAAGTGGGGAAGAGGAAGGAAGGGGAGGAGAATTGGGAGAAAAGGTCTGCTGGTTCCTGGCTTCAGGATTCAGGCACAAATTGAGGGGCATCCCTGTGAACATTTTCAGAGTACAGCTTCAGCAATGATCTGCAATCAGAGGAGTAATGAGTAATTAGCACTAAAGTCCTTTCAGTTTCACTCTATTGGCCAGAGGAGGGGAAAGAGAAAAGTCAAATTTAAGCAAGGGGATGGAATTTTCTTTGAAATTTTTGTGCTTTGGTGCTGCCTCTAATGATTCAGGGAGCCGGCCTGCAGCATCTTCAGTGTAGCACAGTGGCACGCACAGGCCAGCGAGTGTTGTGCTTCTATGACAACAGCCCTGTGTTCTGTGCAAGTATCACTTGATCTTATTTTCTGCATTGTGCTTCTAACAAAGCTGCTCTAGCTGGCCGCATTCTGTAATTGCTTTTTGAACTGAGATCTGAAAGTCGCATTTGTAGCCAGGTATACTTTTGATTATAGCAATCTAGGGGGGTTAATAGAAGCAGCCGTGTTTCATTTAAAAGATCAGCTTGGAGTGTGTGGACAGATTCTGCAAAGGCAGGGGTAGAAAGAAGATATTGATTCCTGTATGATTAGTGGAATACTTCTTTGTTAAAGGTCTACCTCTGAAGCTTTAAATGACCAGGCTTCAAGTGATGAGGGCATCTCACTTTTTTCAAGCCTCTGTAAGGGGAATGGAGAAGTAGAGAATTTTAATTCTTTTTTCTTCTTTAGTAAGTGCACATGTGTTCTCAGGGGCATTTGTAGAAGTTATGAATGTGTATGAGGAAGATAAATTACTCAAATAGAGAACTTATTACTGTCTTCCAGCTTAGTGATGGTACAAATCAACTAATGAACTGGATTCATAATTTTTGTAGCTGAGGTTTCTAACATTTGAACTGAGGCAGTGAGTGCATTGGCCTGATTGTGTTAGATGTTGAGTTCTTCATTTTAGAAATCCCTGTTAAGAACCACAAAGCGTGAGTAGAAGATCTCTTTTCTGATACACCAGTGAGAATTTGTGCTTGGGTTTTCTGGAGGGCTTGCAAAGGACCGTAGTGTTACTGAATAGCAGCTGAAGTTCAGAAAAGTGTGTATCAGAATTGTGTTGTATCCTACAGACAATCACTTGTGGGAAGATTTTACTGTGTTCAGTGCAGCTGTTGACTATTGAGCTATGGATAAAGTTCTTCAGAAACTGTCCTTATTAACGCAATCTGTGAATGAAATGTCTGCTGCACCAGCCCTTTTCTGTGTGAGAAAGTTGCATGTGTTTAGTCAGAGATAAACCACCACACATATTTTACTGAAGTTTAAGCTGTGTTCAATTTGCTTTGTTTCCCCTCTGTTGAATCCCAATTTAAATTGCCTTTGGACAGTGTTTTGGTTTATAGCTGTTTAAACAACAATGAGTTTTGAACTGTTTAGTTTGATTTGGTTTGGTTTTTTTTTCAGTGGGTGAGTGAAGTCCTGCGTGCAGGTGAGGCTTGCTAAGAAGGAAAGTATTTGGGCATGTGGTGAGAGTAAACATCAGTAGGAGTTTTGTTCCCAAAGATGCCCACGAATCTGAGTTGAGGGGAAAATCAACTTATTTCCTTGGATGCTGAGGGAAGAAGATACTTTGGTCTCCACTCAGTGCTTTCTGACACTGCACACAAGTAGCACATGTCCTAGTTTGGACAAGTAACTGCTCATCAGACCCATGCTGTCATTGCCCCGGTTTGTACAACCCCCTGACTGGTTATAAGGAGCTGAGACCTTTGTTTGTTTGACATGGGGTAGATTTTGAAACAGCATTAGAGATTAAAAGTGTGGTCTATCTGTCAAAAGGTAAATTTTCCTTTTTCTCTTCTCTATAGTAATTTGGTCTGTGTAGTTGTCTTCTGCTCTGTACAAACAGAGATAAAAGTTGAGGCCTTGCCTTCTCCCATGAAGTGTCTGAGCTGCATACGTTAAAGCAGTAAACTGCTTAGTGAGTTCCACTTATTTTGATATTTCAGATTCTGCAGTTGTGTTTTGGTTTCTGAATCCAGGCTCACAAGAGAAGGAGGGATCTCTGAGGCTGCATCTTCCCCCTCCCAACCACACTAATGTCGCTAACTGTCATGTCCCCGTAATAAAAAGTGATAGTTTATTCATCCAAATGCTGCCTGAAGCCCCACTGAGCCCTCAGGTTTTATGCAGGTGTTGTTTATTTTAATTGTACTCTTGAGAGTAGATAGGTGTTGGATGGATTCAAAGTTTTCAGCCAAAATTCCTGGTGTTTCATCTTCTTCCATTGCTTTTTTTTTTTCCCCTTCTATAAATACTGAGGACAGAACTTTTCTAAGGATAAAATTTTGGTGGTGCATGTGCTAGAAATGCAGATTTTCCCTAGTAGGCATGAAAAGAATTATTTAGGTTTACCTGCCTTGGACGCTGCTTAATGAATTGCGTAGTTGGATGCACTGTCAAAGATTTTAGTTCTTGGTTGCAGTACCTCGGTTTATTGGAGCAACAGAAGTGGCACCCTGCCACAGGAGTAAAGAATGCTGTTTCCCTGCTAGTATTTGAACAATCTGCAATATCCATCTGTTATTCTTTTAAACACAAAGCAGTGCAACAGATGTATTTCTTGGGTTTGGAAATCTTGCTGGTACAAGTGGATAATAGAAATTTAAAGCCAGGATTTAAATGAAGATTGTAAGGTGTGTTCCTCTTTATTCAGCAGATATAGTGGTTATGATATTTGAAAGAGAGATAAGCTAAACATATGGTACACAGTTAAGGAAAACAAATGCTGAACTGCTCTTAAATCTGTTCTTTTTCAATGTTTGTCATTTTCTTAGATGGCTTCAGTAACAGATGCCAGATACAGGCAGAAAGATACTTCAGATCAAAATTTTGATTACATGTTCAAACTCCTGATCATTGGCAACAGCAGCGTGGGCAAAACATCCTTCCTCTTCAGATATGCTGATGACACTTTCACACCAGCCTTTGTTAGCACAGTAGGAATTGACTTCAAAGTGAAAACAGTTTATAGGAATGACAAGCGGGTGAAACTGCAGATTTGGGTAAGTGCCAGTGTTTTCAAAAATGCTTTGTGTTAATTCCAGCAAAGATAGCTTGTTTGGAAGTAGATTTTTGAATTAATATAGATTTTGATTGTTCATGAGTTTTGTGTGGCTGTATCATTTGTATCCCTGCAGTATAGCTGAGTAAGTTCTGTTTGTATTGCTGTCTCGCTCAACTGGTGGGACTCCTGATTAGGTCTTAAGCAGCTGTTCTGTATTCTCAGGAGTCAGCGTACTATTAAACTGCAACAAACCCAAAGCAGGTCTGGAGCCATTTATCAGCACTTTTTGAGTGAGCACTAGTAGGTGAAGAAATTCAGTGAGTGCTTAATGGTTGAACTCTAGGCGTAGTTTCTACTTATGTCCTCCAAATAAGATACTGGAACTTCCTGCAACTCATGTGCCTGCTCAGCAGCGCCAAGCCACCTCACTTCATCCATCCAGGATTCCTCTGGGAGAAGACAGGTATGCTTCAAACCATCTCTGTTGACACGACTTCTTGGTAAATCAAATGGGAAGAGGACTTGTGCAGGTAAGCTGGAGGCTTTTTCTGCTCAAACACCCAGTCATGGGACCTTTTCAGCCTTTTTGAATTACAGCATCCTAGCCCAGTTAAAAAAAAAAAAAAAAGTTCCTGAGCTGCAAGCAATTATGTCAGTAGCTCATTATGTTCCTTTTTATGGAAAGCAAGTGTTTTCTTTTATTCTGCTTGCTGGTAAGTGACTTAAATCCTACAGTGTGAATGCAATTTATCCTGATGGTGCTTGACCCCTCTGTGTCCCAGTGAATTAGTCAGCATGTTTAAAACACCTAGGCTCAGATTGCTGTGTTTTAGAGTACCATGGGGCTCCCGCTGGAATTCCAGTTTGCAAGATTCTTCTCTTCTGCTTTGCATAAAAAGATCTCAAATAGAAGATAGAAGGCTAATATTCTCTTAAACAATTTCAAAGGAGTTAGCTCACTAACTTGAAGTAGCTGTCTACTTGGTGGTTTCTCCCACAAGTTAAGCTTAAAGTTCAGGCTTGAAGAGAGTTGAAACTGTATAGCGTTTCCACCCAAACCCTTGCATTTAAATGTAATATTATAGTAATCACACTGGGTTTTTTTTATTTATTGTGATGATCTTGAATAGTCACAATAAAATAGAATCTAAAATGAGGAACTTTTTTTTTTTTTGTTACTATTTTTTGTATTTTATTCCATTCCTGCAACATTTTATTTCTGTGTTCCTGGGTACAAGGTGCAACCAATTATTTAACAAAAGATCCTTTACACATTGCAAAATTCTGACATTGAAACTAATACGGATAACCTGACATGAAACTGTTTGATTTAATTTAGAGTATAGGTAATAAGAATGTTTGTATTTCAGTCCCCGTAAGCAACTAAAGATGACTTCCATCCAGTTTGTCTTAATCTTGGAACATGAAATTCTCTAATAAGTTGTGTGAAAGCAAGACAGAAAGTACCATGAAATATTTGGGGTCTTTTGCAAAGATACTGGGATTAAAATGAATTAAGCAATAATCTTAATTAAATCTGTTTGAAGGCCTTGGGGGGAAAAAGGCTTTAATAACCTTAAACTTCTTAAGAGAAGAGATGTCAGGTGGATTCATCAGAGGGTGCTATCTGTAGGACCTGTAATATTGGAGTTACCAACACCACTGTTGATTTAAAGTTTATTTTCAGTAGAAGGTTCATGTAAATGTTTGACAGTTTCCAGACTTGTGTTCTTTTCTTCTCTCTTTCTTTGCTCCTTGCATGGATCCCTGATGTGAGTCATGATTTAAGGACCTTAATAACAAAACCATTAAGTGTGTATCTCTAAAAAACACAGTATTTGAGCTTGTTTACCTCCTGCCTGTCCTGAGGCTAAACTTGTAATTTCAGTGTATTCTTCAGGGAACATATAGTAGCATCGGGGTCCATTAGCATACCAAAACTATGCGTTCCTGTGTATAGGAAGGAAGAGTTTTCTTACCAACCTGTCTTCCAATTACTTTTAAAAATTATTTACAGCTGCTATTGAGTTTCTGTGAGCGTGGGATCCTGCGGCTCCATTGGAACACTTTGCTTTTACTTATAACTTTCCAGTTATGTTGACACTTTTTTAATTATGTTCCCCCCTAAGCTTGATGTTAAGTCTTACCTGAATCAGGTTTAATGTGAAACTAATACGAAACTAAGTGAAGAAGGAGAAGGTACAAGTGTTTAAATTAACCACTTCAAATGTCTTTATAAAATCCAGAGAGGAGCACTTCTAGGAACCTCTAATGTTCTCTCTGCGGAGCCAGATCTCTTTCAGTTCATGGATGCTTGTGGAGCTCTTAAGTGTACGCAGCTGTGGCAGACTGGAGGTGCTCCAGGGCTGTGCACAAATAACCTTGGTTTGTGTCCTACAAATCTCAAGGTGGGGGCAAAGTTACTACTGCTGTGCTGTGACCTAGAGAGATCAGTGATCACTGGGACTTTCTACCTTAACTTTTGCCTGTGTTAAAGAGCAGAGCAGAACGTGTAGATCCCCAGCTACAAAGAGCTTCTTGAGTTTTCTTAAAGCTAAGAAAATTTCACACTGCTTCAAGTGCCAAGCAGCTGCATGTAAAGACTAACAGCGTGTCGCTGTGCCAGTAAATGTCTTTCTGGCCTATCTCGTGGTTAATATCTCCAGTAGAATCTGATGAGCCTTTTTAAGCTAGAGATCTAGCTTCTGTGTTTGTGCTGAATTTGAGGAAGCCCGTATTTTGTGAATTGGGATTTGACAAGCTGTCAGGTGTAATGATAAAGAAGAGTACTGCTCTGTTAAGTTTTGATGTCATTACTGGGCCTCTTGCTTTGTTGGCATTAACACCTCAATCACACAAGTTGATATTTTAATAAGATTCCTATCAGTTATGCTAGGGACCTAGCAGTCTGGGAAATGGTCTGCTTTGAAAGGACTTGAAAGGAGTATCTTTTGAGAGGAATGGGACACAGCAAAGGTATTAATAGTGTTTTTAAAGTAGAATCATAGCTCTGCTGATAGAGAACAGAATGGTAAAATGGTCTGGAGAGGGGTTATGTGAAATAATGTTTTGTGGTCATTTTTTTTTCTTCATTAAAGAACTGCAAGATCAGTTTGACTGTTTTGATGTCAAGTCTTTTCTGTCTTATTTAGAAATGGTGGTTTTCTGTAAATTGAATAAATTACCTTTACTGAGAAAGTTCGTTTTGTAGTTGGATTAGGTTTGGTAACTTAAACATTTCTAATTTAAAATATTACTTACGTAAATATATTAATATATTATGTAGATATTCTGATATCTACATAAATGTAATTCTGGGATAAGATTTTTTTTTTTATGCCACTGCTGTCTGTAATAATACTTTCGTTTAAAGCATCTTGGATATATTTGTAAGAAGCCAATTTATAATATCTCTCTGCATGTGGGATGTACATGTGGATTATTTCTTTCTTGACCAACAGTTTTGTATTCCCAGAGTTGCTAATTACTGATTACTGAAGGAAAGCTATTATGTTTTCAGCTAGGTATGTTTTTTATTATAAATAAATCTCAAAGGTAACATTGTTATATTCTTAGCAAATGCATACAGTTAATACTCAATGCAGCGTTCAGGTTGCCTAGCAGCTAGAGAAGGCCACTTTGTCCAGATCCAGATGGAAGCAGGGTGAATGAATAAAAGTGATTTTAGTTTTAGGTGTCAGCAATGTGAGATTTCTTTTTTTCCTTCTTCTGTGTGCTTGTGTGTCTCTTGGTGGTAAGTAGTAATAATGGCAGAACTCTTGAGCAACGTAGCACTGAGGTTAACTGCTGAGGGGCAAACTGTGGTCCTCCACACTGACCCGGTCTAGGCTAATTCTATGAGCTCTGGATAGTAACACAAATTTACTGGTGGAAAACCATTGGCAGTGTTTAGCCCCAAACAATTGCACACCACAACACTTTGCACTCCACAGAATATGTGCTTTGTGTAAAGAATTTCATTACGCTTTGATTATACTTTTGTACAGCACCCTACACAGTGGAGCCTGATTTTTGTTGCAGGTACTATAAGCATATATGTGATTAATAATAAACATAATTAAATACAGGGCTTGGCAGCTGATGTTACAGTTGAAATTACTTTCAACCCCCCTTTTTTAAAGGCAAATAGAGGTTAAATTTAACTTCAGGTTAAAAGGCAAAAAGAATGTGATGTTCAGATGGAGACAGCATATTTAGACTGCAGTATGATTTTTCTTTTAAGGCGCTGCTTATTGGATTTAAACTGCTATGATGAGTATAGCTTGTTCTTTCCTATTAACAAAAATGTTTCTGTGGCTTAACTGCTGAAACCTGTAGGGGTCTGAGGTTAGCTGTAGTGGATGTCTGAAACGTTACAGCTTTCAGGCACAACTGGGAAGAGGGTGCAAGGCAAGATCACTCTGTTTTTGTGGGAAGGATCTTTACAGACAGAAATATAACAACTGATAATTATGCTGAGTGGCAGTTACCATTACAAAACAAAAAAAAAGTGTAAACCAAAATGAAATGCAAGCTGCATAGCCATCCAGAAGGCAAATATGCAGTGTTTTTAAAAGCTTTTTGTATCAGTTGTCGCCTGGATGACAGGATGTTGCTGTGCAGTTTGCCTGGTTGGGAAGGGATTCAAAGAAGTAACACTGGTAACTAAGTTAATTCTTTCATTTAAAGGAGATAAAATTAGAACACAGTCATACTTGATTGTAAATTTTAATGTTAATTGCACACTTAACCAAAAGCTAATTATGCATTTCAGATGAGAGAATCACCTATTCCCCTGGCATCCCATTCCCATCATATTTTCGCTAAGTTCCGTATAAGCACTGACTTTAAACTTCAATGCTTGCACAAAACTTGTTTCTTTAAAAAAAAAAAAAAAAAGGTAATAAGAGTTCTGTAATTTAATATATAGATGCAATAGCAATAGATATCTCTAAAGACCTAATGGGCCTGATTCTGCTCAGTAGATTCATAGCTGTT